ATGTGTCAGGCAATTAAAATTTTAAAACAACCAAAAAAGATTAGATTAGTAAACTTTCTGATGAAGCTATAGTATACAGTTCGCTAGATTTTTCTATATAAATCATCAGACGGAAAAAACAACGAGACGTATAAATTTATAGTTTGATGAATAGTACTGTTAGGCTTTCATCAATTCTCTAAAATGGTTCTAGGGATGTATCGTTGAATTTTGATGAAGAATACGTTGCGGTGACTTTAATAAATATTTAAAAATCAGTTTAGTACTTTTTTTTTATCAAAAGCTGTTTCAAACGATGAGTTTCATCTTATTGCTAATATAAAAGAAAAGAGATAATCAACAAAAAGTTCACAGCATATGGTGTCAACTAGTACAAACTCTATGTAAAATATTGAGATCACGAATGATTTTTAACATGAGAACAATTTTTTAGATTCTGTCTGACAAAACAAAATGAGGAAAAGAAAATAATTTATGGTTTTCGAATAATTTTTTCTGTCGTTAAAGTTTGTTTGTCTTTTAATTTAACATGGTACATGTATGACATTTGTCAAGTCAGCGCAGAAGTTATCGATATGTTCAATTAATGAAACGATTAAGTGATCATTAATGTTTTGCTGAGCATTCTGAATATATATACAGACACGATTCGATAGATATAGTTATAGCTTTCTTTCTCTTTTATTTAATACTCATCATCTATGTCTCTACATAGATACTTTTCTGTAGATTTAGGAGGGTGTGGGTGGTGTCTTAGCGAAATCTCACTTATACCTACACCCATACCCAAACCCACACCCCACACCCACACTCACACGCACACTCACCCACATTTAAGCATCGCGGTGAACACACGGCTAAGAAAAGAATAAATTCAACTGCCTTGTTGACATTGTAAATGAAGTGTGAAATCAAAAAAACCGTCACGTGAGACAGTTATTAATGAATACATACGTGTTTCACATTGAGATCCAGTCCATGATGACATACACTATAAAATCAAGTATCACATTATAGAGCATTTCGGTGAAGATCTCTTTGAGACTTACAGTACAAGTGTTGAGGGCGGTACACGTTCCACCATTTAAGCATTCCGGCAAACACACGGCTAAGAAAAGAATAAATTCGAGCGACTTGTTGACATTGTAAATGAAGTGCGAAATAAAAAAAACGGTCACGTGAGACAGTTATTAACGAATACATACGTGTTTCACATTGAGATCCAGTCCATGATGACATACACTATAAAATCAAGTATCACATAAAAGAACATTTCGGTGAAGATCTACTTGAGACTTACAGTACAAGTGTTGAGTGCAGTACACGTTCCACCATTTAAGCATCGCGGTGAACACACGGCTAAGAAAAGAATAAATTCGACTGACTTGTTGACATTGTAAATCAAGTGTGAAATCAAAAATCAGTCACGTGAAGCAGTTATTAATGAATACGTACGTGTTTCGCATTGAGATCCAGTCCATGATGACATACACTATAAAATCAAGTATCACATTATAGAGCATTTCGTTGAAGAGCTCTTTGAGACTTACAGTACAAGTGTTGGGTCCAGTGCAATTTCCATTATTCATGCATTGAGGAGAGCACACAGCTAGAAAAGTAAATACGAAACTGCATTCGTATATTAGGATGATCTAATGAAGGGATACACGTCATCTACAATAGTTGTTTGATCGAGTGAACTTACAGTGAGTGCCCCGTTGCTAATTTCCAGTAGATCATGATAATGATGCGTGATAGTTAGAAGTGCACGTTCGTTACAGGAAAATAACAGTTTCACTTACTTATGCGACGTCTAATTAGAGTTTGAATTTAAAAGAAAATTCAGTTCACAGGCAGCAACTCAAAAGATCTTTGTTCTCAATACTTCATGCTTTTGAAAATTTGTTGCTAAAGCGTCTCGTCATATTTCAACTATACACATTTTATCACCGAGTCGTGAAATAAAGTGTGAAATAGATACTGATAAAATTCTCCGGTCTAATTCAATGAAGATTGTGAGAAAACTGTAAGATACATCAGAGATGAATGGAATTTTGGTATTCACTGGGCACATTTACGCTCATGTTACAAAATGATAAGTATCAAAATGAGGGCTTACAGACCTGCGCTCAGCTGTTCAGTTAGGTTCGTATACAAAGCATGTTTTTCTTTGTTCATTCTGTTGGATAAAACATTGATCTCTCGATTCATCAGCTCAGTTTGATTCTTATGGAGATCATTCATTTTTGTGAAGATAGCATCGATCGTTTGGTTCCAGTTGGCTGACATCTGTTCAGTCGAAATTTATTTTAATACATTGACAATTCTGATATTTTGTTAGAATTTAACACTGCCTGATACTTACTTTATTCTTCAGATCGACTATAAGACTTTCTAGTTGGTCGATTCTATCACTGAGCCATATTTTAGATTTGTTGCCACTTTCATTCGGTTTACACCGAAGAGGTAGAGTGTAAACGTTCGATCGCATTCGGACGAAAACGGTATTGGAGAAGAGCTTCGTGTTCGTACTCAATTTACCAATCTTGACGATACGGGCATTAATAGGACGTGGCTTAATAATGTTACCTTCGAGATATATCATTTCAGAGAAATCGTGAAGGAATTCGACCACCCCTTGACGACTTAAAGTGTGTTGTTTCTCTGTATCTTTATCCACTTTTGTTGCATTGAAATTGTTTGCAGTTATACCAATCTCATTTAAGTCATTGGTATTTATTTGAGTCTTACCAAATTCTTCCTTATGAGTTTGCGTCTCGTTTAAATGATTTTGAGCACTACCGAACTGATTCAAATTGTGATTGTCCATATTTGTAACCTTCAACATGTCCGGATCTGTTAGTTGTCCATGTTGGTTCTCATTCATGTTAGTTTGATCGTGTGAACTTCCTTGTTGTATATGCGTTTCTTTTCTACCACTAGCACCAAGCTGAATACCGAAAAATTTAACTCCACCACCACCACCACTGCTAGTGCGTTCAGAATTAAAGGATGAATCGGATTGGCTGTTTGCATTGAACTTTTTGTCAAACTGTTGAAGGCGTTGTTTATCATGATGTTTTAGATGAACTCGATTATCGTTTTCATTTAACGTATTCAACCCATTGATGTCATGTTGACGTAAATTAGCTTGATTAATGTTATATCGCGATACATCAAATCCTGAGATATTATGTCGAGTCACATCATTTTGAAAAATACGATGCTCAGTTGAATCAGACAACATCGCATCTTTTGCAGCTTGACTATTGTAGATAAAATTTTCACTATTGCCATCATCTTTACGAACTATTGTATTGAGAACTTTAGCAAGATAATCGGGTCGCGTCACTTCCGGAGTCCAATACAGTTCATTCCATAGTCTATCATTTGTCATTTGGAGCTCTACCTAAAATGACCCAAAAAATAAACGATTTTTATTAATGAGATGCACCTGATTACATCAATACCAAAACGAGAAAGAGAAAATGTTTTACTTTTCTCAATTTTTGTCCGACGAGACAACCAACATGAAAATTTGTCTCCACTCATCTTTTTTTTATGGTAAAAATTCAAAATAACATTGCTTTTTATCAAATCTGTGCAACAATATGAAAATAAGCCTATCACTTTCAGGAAATAGAAAGGATAGCTATGATTCTTACGGATGCGAGTACTATGATATGAATGAATCATAAAATTAGTGAATTCTTATTTTTGATGAAATGTTTATGACATAATTTTGGAGTTGAAACTTCGATAGTGCACATCTACGTAGGTAAATCTTCTTGTTTCATCGCTGATTTTCCACAACCTACTATATTCTCATACATACATGTTGAGTAGATAACTGCTGTTCGAGAAGTTTGTCAACAGCTATAGGATCTTGTAGATCTTCAAATCCTTCTTGAATACGTAATGTTGCCGTAATACGACTCATAGATTCGTTGAGTAATTGTTTGAAATCACCTCCTGTGAGAAGTACCCTATCAGACGAAGGAAATTGAGCACGAATTTGATTGTACATATTTGTATGTGTCACATGTTCCGTTGTGACTTCTAGTTGTTTTTGTATTGTCTGTTGACCATACAATGAATAGTGAACTTCAAAGTTTGGTAATCGGCATCGTTCTGTGAGAGCCATGCGCAACTGTTCACATGCGTTCATGCTGGTTGGATAAACAATGAATTCCATCGATTGAAGAAGAAGAGTAGCAGAATGCCAGCTTTCATCAAGCACGTACTTCTGTCGATTGTTAATTGTATTTGATGCTTTTTGAACAATGCGAATGGAGTTCATCGGTATGAGAGACACATCACACAAGGAATGTAACGTCGAATTTCCGCATATTACTGGTTGACGTTTATGAAGATAATCTTTGACAGCTTCTACTAGATGCATAGTGTACAGTTCAACGCTAAGACCCAGCTCAATACGATCATTAAAAACATTTTCATAACACTTCGTTTCTTCGGATTGAATATAGGGAAATGGTGTAAAGAAGAAATCGCTAGGCTTCTGTTGATTCTGAGAGATCATAACTTCACCATCCCGATATTTGATTCGACCAATATTTTTTGTGCTTACTTCCGCATGAAAAATACCTCCGCTATTAGCAGATAGAGATCCTTGCTGCTCAGCACAAGCTGTAAGCACGATTATGAATAGGTGAAGCCAAGTATACATTATCGAAAGAGCCGTGAATAAATATTCTGGAATTAGTACAAAAAATAAGGCATAAATATATATTGTGGATTTCATATCGCATTTCTCAAATCTGTCAGCATAGAAACGATATTATCAAATAGAATATTGACGGATATGGGACAATCCATATTATGACAGCATTCCTATGAGACACTATTCTCTTAAGAATCAGTCCATCCTGTACGATGGAATAATTGTATCTTTTCATCCTATCATTCAATGAGTGAAATAGATTATATATAATGATCTTATGCTTCTCTGAATGATATAATGGTTCTAATCGAGATGTTCTATGCGTCTGTTCCAGCAAAACAAATAAGAAATAGAAAAATTCAAGAATGTTGAAACGCTGGAATTATCAGAACGACTTTTACTATGAATTAGTATTACAGCGATGTAAAGACAGATAAAGGCAGGAAGGCACAGTCCGGTCTGTTGCATTAGTAATAAATCGTTTTATTGAATTTTTTGTGTTTTAGTTATTAAAAATTCCTTCAGCATTTGATATCTTTCTACCAGGGATTAGTCTCATCTACATAGTCCAGTAAATCTGACAACGGCGTTGTCATCTTCCATCATGACATCATGTATGATTATCTTTCTATTTCTAACTATAAATTTAAAATTGACGGAATCATTCGATTATGAAATTATTATTCAGCCTATGTTAAATGCATTAAAAATTTCAAAAATAATTTATGGCATCGATTTAATTGCTTCATATTTTATAACGGGTTCTTACTCTATTTTTAGTCTGTTGAAACGTTATACTTTGCACTGTTAATAATTGAAGAAGTCAGTATCTTTTGCTGATATATCTCTGAACAAACAAGCCAAATTACAAGTAATAGCGGTGTAAGTGAAATTGTCGATAGTACGAAAGTTCGAACCTTTCCCAAGCAGATCCTAAATGGTCAACGATGGGTGCGACGAGTGGTCGAAACTTGAATATATATATATATTTTTCTCGTTCTCTTCTAATTTCGAGCCCCTCGGAGGCTATCGAATGTCGAGCCCTCGGAAGTATTCTCCCATTGCACATTTATTTTCGACTCCTCGGACGCATTTTGACCGCTCGAAAACCATCGAAAAATGGACCACTCGAAAAGAGGCGGCCTATCGAAAAGATCACTTCGATTACTCGATATGATTCCGATCAGTTGGAACCCATCGAACTTTCGAGCTCTTGAAAATATTTTCCCATGGTGCATTCATTTTCGACTCGGATTTGTTTCAAAACCTCGAAATCTATTGAATTTTCGACTACTTGAAGACAGGAAGCCCATCGAAAAGATATTTTCGATTATTCGATATGATATCGATTAGTGGAAGCTAATCGAAATATCGAAGGCTTGGTGAGACATGCCTATCGAAAAGCATAATTTCAATTTATCGTTTTAACTCTGATTGCTAAAAGTGTCCCAAAAATTCAGTTGTTCAATGTTTTTTTATCCTTATGGCATGATCCATTTAGAGAGTTTTGCTTTTCTATCGGAGTTTTCACGTAGTTTGATCATTTAAACAATATTATTTATTACTTACAATTACAACAATGATAGAAATATGTTTACAGTGCTCAGAGAAAAATAATCATAATTAATTCCGTTTCATAACACCCCAAATATTCTGAACTCTTGACTAACTCTGATTTTTGATTGTTCGTGGGCAAAAAAGGTTCATGAGATCATTGAAAACTATCAGTTTATTTTTTATTCCTCGGAAGAATTGAGGTAGTTGAATATTATAAGCATAATAGGGATAGATATGTCAAGTATGTCTAATTTTAGTTTCAATATTTTTTTATTTTTTTTACATAAACTAATTAACTATAATTAATTTATGCTTCAGCATAAATTAATTATTTAATACAATAAAACTGATAACAAATAAAATTGCTTTTACTTAACATCAACAATAGCAATATGTATATGCCGCCAGTCGCTGTTGAAAAAAAACTGATTATACTTATTTTTAAAGCAAATAGGAAAAATTATAGAAGTTGAACATAATTCATGATGATACTTAGATTTATCTAAAATTAAAGCGCTATGTTTAGTTCATCTGATCTATGCAAGCAATGCAACCGTAAGTACATGTGTTCGAATCTCCTTTACTGCAAATATATCCGACACGTATCGAGGGCTCGAAAAAAATGAAAGAGAAGAAGCAAACAATTTTTTGAAAGGACAAGTGGCGATAAGGCCATTTTCTCGCCCAAAAAGTTTCTCAAAAAGAATTACATATTCGGAATCAGCATTAAATTCTGAGTAAAATGAGGTACTTTTTGCTGTCGAAAAACGACTTTCATTTTTCACGGTTCCTTGGGCACCTGTAGGGTACCTCAGGACCATCGAAACTTTTTTTTGTTTCAGAATTTTAGTGAATTTAACATCATCTGATGCGAAATTTAATGCTGATTTCGAATTTCAAATTGAAATTTAAAAAAAAATAGACTTTTGATAGAAAAAAATTTGATTTACTGTAGGATGCTAGGGTGGGCCTACTTCCAGTTACCGTGCACAAGTGACCTAGTGACACCATTCGAAAGTCTGAAATACATTTAGTAATGTGTGAGATTGCTTTCCCAATCAGAAACAAAAACAAAAAGGTGTCTGAAGTCGAGTTTTGGTGAGTTTTAGATCCAAATACTCAAAAAACCTGTTTTTTGAGCCCCTTAGCTCCATATCGGAGTGTAAAAAAATCTCCAACCAATGAGTGACATATATAGATCGATGCAGTTTTTCACGCTCTTTCCGAATATGACCTCAGAAACAAGAAAAAAAAGAAGAACATGGTCAAACCGCGCAAATACTGGAATCAGAGCAAAGAAGCCCAAAAACGCGCCGGTATTTGCAGATTATGACCAATAAAAATTGACTTCTGAGTAAAATGCATATGATATTTCGAATCAGCACTTAAAACTACATCTAGTAACATAGATTCTGTGAAAAATTATTTTTTAATAAAATTTGATCCCTATTCTCTCTCAGCTATTTTCTGCTGTAATTTTGCCTGTACCCCCCATCAGCCTAATTTTGATGAGAATTTTTCTTTTGACAGAATCCATGTTACTAGATGTAGTTTTGAGTGATGATTCGAAATATCATATGCATTTTACTCAGAAGTTAATTTTCATTGGTCATAATCTACAAATACCGGCGCGTTTTTGGGCTTTTTTGCTCTGATCCCAGTATTTGCGCGGTTTGACCATGTTCTTCTTTTTTTTCTTGTTTCTGAGGTCATATTCGGAAAGAGCGTGAAAAACTGCATCGATCTATATATGTCACTCATTGGTTGG